CTCAAGAGTCTTCTCCAACACTACAGTTCAAAAGCATCAATTCTTTGGTGCTCAGCTTTCTTTATAGTCCAACTCTCAGATCCATACATGACCACTGGAAAAACCATAGCTTTGACTAGACAGACCTTTGTCAGCAAAGTAATATCAGCTTTTTAATATGCTGCCTAGGTTAGTTATAGCTCTTCTTCCAAGGAGCAAGCATCTTTTAATTTCATGGCTGCAGTCACTGTCTGCAGTGATTTTAGAGCCCCCCAAAATAAAGTTTGTCACTGTTTCCTCCATTTCCCCATCTATTTGCTGTGAAGTGATGGGACCAGATGCCACGATCTTAGTTTTCTGAATGTTGAGCTTTAAGCCAACTTTTTCACTCTCCTCTTTCACTTTCATCAAGAGGCTCTTTAGTTCTTTGCTTTCTGCCATAAGGGTGGTGTCATCTGCATATCTGAGGTTATTGATATTTCTCCCGGCAATCTTGATTTCAGCTTGTGATTCAGCCCAGCGTTTTCTCATAATGTACCCTGCATAGAAGTTAAATAAGCAGGGTGACAATAGACAACCTTGACGTACTCCTTTCCCTATTTGGAACCAGTCTGTTGTTCCATGTCCAGTTCTAACTGTTGCTTCCTGACCTGCATATAGATTTCTCAAGAGGTGGGTCAGGTGGTCTGATATTCCCATCTCTTTAAGAATTTTCCAGTTTGTTGTGATCCACACAGTCAAAAGTTTTGGCATAAAGCAGATGTAGGTGTTTTTCTGTAACTCTTTTGCTTTTTTGATGATCCAACAGATGTTGGCAATTTGATCTCTGGATCCTCTGCTTTTACTAAATCCAGCTTGAATATCTGGAAGTTCACGGTTCATGTACTGTTGAAGCCTGGCTTGGAGAATTTGAGCATTACTTTACTAGCATGTGAAATGAGTGCAGTAGTTTGAGCATTCTTTGGTATTGCCTTTCTTTGGGATTGGAATGAAAAATGATGTTTTTCAGTCCTGTGGCCACTGTTGAGTTTTCCAAATTTGCTGGCATATTGAGTGCAGCACTTTCACTGCATCATCTTTTAGGATTTGAAATAGCTCAACTGAAATGGCATCATCACCTACACTAGCTTTGTTTGTAGTGATGCTTCTAAGGCCCACTTGACTTCACATTCCAGGATGTCTGGCTCAAGGTGAGTGATCACACCATCATGATTATCTGGGTCATGAAGATCTTTTTTGTATAGTTCTTTGTATTCTTGCCACCTCTTCTTAATATCTTCTGCTTCTGTTAGGTCCATAAAATGCCCATGTTTGCATGAAATGTTCCCTTGGTATCTCTAATTTTCTTGAGATCAACAGGGTATGTTATGTGAAAAAAAAAAAAGCCAGGGGGCAGAATTATGTATACTGTTTTAAAAATTTATCTTTGTTGAAGTATAATAGACAAAAAAAAAATACATCTTTAAAGTGTGCAATTTGACACATTTGACCTAGAAACCGTGATCACATAGATAATGAATATACCCATCACCCCCAACAAAGTACCCTTATGCATCTTTGTAATCCTCTCCCTCACATGCTTGCTTTGCAACAGATTAATTTGAATTTTCTAGAATTTTATATAAATGGAATCAAACAGTGTATATACTTTTGAGTCTGGCTTCTTTCATAACTATGAAATAATAATTATGAATAATAATTATTACTCTGCATAATTATGTTAAGACTCATCCATGTTGTTTCGTTTATTCCTTTTTTTTTTGCTGAGTAATATCCTTTTGTATGCACGTATTACTTTTTGTTTATTCATTCATTTGTGGATGGACGTTTGGATTGTTCTCCATTTGTGGTTATTAAAATAAAGCTTCTATAAACATTAGTATACAAATCTTTGTAAATACAGATGCTTTTATTACTCTTGGGAAACTACCTAGGGGTAAAATGGCTAGATTATTTGGTAGGTGTGTATTTAACTTTTCAAGAAACTGTCAAAGTGTTTTGCAGAGTAATTTTACATTCCTACCACCAGTATGAAAGTTTCAGTTCCTCCACATCCTTGCCACCACTTGATATATGGTCAATTTTTTAAATATACCTTTTAATAGGTAATGACAAATGCTGTTGTATGTTTTTCATATGCTTATTTGACATCTCTATATCTTCTTGGTTATATATCTGTTCAGATCTTTTGCCCATATTTTATTTAGTTAGTTTTGAGAGTTCTTTATGTATTCTGGATACAAGTCATTTATCAGACACATGATTTGCAAACTCTTCCTCCTGGCTTGGCTTGCCTTCTCATTCTCTCTCAAAGAACAGGTTTTAAACTCTTCTCTGGATTGTGCTTTGGTGTAGTTTCTAAGAACTCTTTGCTTAGCTTATGGTCACAAAGATTTTTCTCCAATGTATTCTTCAAAAGGTTTGTGATTTCAGGTTTTACATTTAGGTCTGTAATTCATTTTGAGTTATTTTCTGAATATGGTTCAAGGTAAATATTAAAGTTTTTTGTCAATTTACTGCATTACCATTTGTTGACAAGACTGTTGTTATTTATACCTTTGTTGAAAATCAGTTGTCCACCTAATGGGTGGTTCTACTTCTGAACATTGATTTGTCTGTCTTAATGCCAATACCACACTGTACTGATTATTGTAGTTTTATAGTTGGTCTTGACATCAAGTAGTGTTAGTCTCCAACTTTTTTCTTTTGCAAAACTGTTTTTGTCCATTCTAGTTTCATTCCCTTTTTATCTTTTTTAAAAGTTCTTCTTTATTTTTTTTGAGGGGGGTCATTCAGTTTCATATGAATTTTTAGAATCAGCTTATTAATTTTTATAAAATTATTTTTTTAAAAACCTTACTAGAATTCTGATTAGGATTGCAATCAATCCATAGATTGATTTGGGAAGAGTTGCCGTCTGGTAATGATTGAGTCTTTGAATCCATAAAGGTAGGATAGCTCTCTCTTCAGGTGTTCTTTAATTTCCTTAAGCAACATTTTGTAGTTTTTAGTGTACAGGTCTTTTACCAGAGGTATTCATAAATATTTCATGTTTTTGATGGTATTGTAAATAATATTTTAAATGTAATTCATTTACATTTAAAAATGTAATTTTTCATTACTAACATAGAAAAAAGCCTTCCCAGATGGCTCAGTGGTAAAGAATCTGCCTGCCAAGCAGGAGATGTGGGTTTGATCCCTGGATCAGGAAGATCCCCTGGAGGAGGACATGGCAACCCACTCCAGTATTCTTGCCTGGGAAATCCCATGGACAGAGGAGCCTGGCGGGCTTCAGTCCTTGGGGGGATCGAAAAGAATCAGACATGACTTAGTGACTAAACAACAACAGCAATATATAGAAATATTTGATTTTTCTGTATTGAACTTGCATCCAACAACTTTGCTGAGCCCACTTATTAGTTGTAATAACTTCTTTGTAGATTACATAGGATTTTTTTATATAGGTATTATATCTTCAGTGAATGAAGACAATGATATTTCTTTCTAATTTGGATGTTTTTACTTCTTTTTCTTGTCTTCTTGCACTGGCCATGTTGAATAGAAGTGATCAGAAATGACATTTTGTCTTGTTCCTGATCCTTTTGTTGTTGAAAAAAGGGTAACTATACATATTTGCCTCTATAAACCTAGAATATCTCCAAAAACTTACATTAAAATTTGATAATATTGGTTGCTTCTGAGGAGAAAAGTTGAATTGGGTCGGGAAAGGGATGAGAAGCAAACCTCTTTTTATAGGTTTTTTTGTTTTCTTTTTTTACTTTATTCTTAAGAAACAAACTTCTTACTGGACACTTTTTGGTATATTTTAATGTAGGAGCCATCAGATACAAATCTTAAGTTATGATGGGGTTATGATAAACCCTTCAAGAGTTGAAAATATTGTAAGTCAAAAACATGCCTTTAAAATACCTAACTTACACACCATCATAGCTTAGCCTAGCCTATCTTAAATATGTTTGAAACACTTACATTAGCCTACAGTTGGGCAAAATCCTCTAACATAAAGCCTATTTTATAGTAGTGTTGAGTAGCTCATGTGATTTATTGAATACTGTGCTGAAAGTGAAAAATAGAATGATTGGGTACAGAATGGTCATTGTAAGCTTATCAGTTATTTCCCCTTGTGAGTGTGTGCTGATGGGTAGCTGTGGCTCACCGAGTGCCCAAGAGAGAATTACATATGGCTAGTCTGAGAAACGATCACAGTGCACAATTAGAGGTATGGTTTCTACTGAATGTGTATTGCTTTTGCACTATCATAAGGTCAAAAAATCGTAAATTCAACCATCCTAAGTTGGGTACTGTCTGTATATTGCCTATTCCAGAAAATAAGAAAACTTAGGTGTATAAACAGATCATTTGCTAAAATACTGAATATTTTTGTAAAGAAACACCTTAAGAATGGGACACAAGAGATCACAAAGTTAAAAATTAGCAAAGGTATGCTGAAATATTTAAGAATCTTTAAAGAATACTTGGGAGTAGGTAGTCTTTGCAGTAAACTTTGAAAGAGGAGAAACATGAATTGATAGTAAAGTAGATATTTTGAGAGGAAGATATGTGTAAAGACATGAAAATGATAAATGGCAAACTTTAGCAAGCAAATTAATTTGACTGGGGCATTGGGCCTGGGAAGGGAAATAAGAAGAAAAAGTTAGATAAAGGAGGGCTTTGCAGAAGAATTAAGACTAACAAATGCAATTTCATGTGGTTCACTCCAATACCCATCCAATCCAAGGCACATATTTGCCTTCAGTTATCTTAATTGGTTGACAGATACCTTTACTGAGTGCCTGCTCTTCACTAGATCTAGTGTAGGTGTTGCATGTTGTATGTAGCTGTGAACCAAATGGACGTGATGACTTTTCTGATAGAGGTTTTAGTCTAGTGGGCACCTCGGGGCTTCAGCAAAATGAGCAACCTCATGTTCCCCTTTGTTTCAAAGTTCTGGCTACAGATTCAATCTGACACTCTTAAAAACCCTAACCCTTTGCCCACTCCTAAATATAACCATTTCGATAAAGATTCAAACCATTACTCAAACCCCTTGGCCTCCAGTCTTCCTCCCCTTTCACACTTATCAGTACAGGATAGGAATGGAAACCAAAGACTCTGAAGCCAAATGTCTGAGTTTGAAATTTCACTTTACATTTCCCTTTGTGATTCAAACCACAAAGGGAAACTTTCTGTTCCCCAGCTTCCTCAATTATAAAATAATGATAGTAACAGTATGTACCTTGTAAGGTTGCTGAGAATATTAAATGAGTTATTACATATAAAGTGCTTAGAATATCTGTACACATTTAAGTTTTAAATAAATATTAGAAATTATACAATTATTAGTAGAAGATCTTGCTTGTATCATTTCACCCAAGCCTAATACTTCTCACAAACTGTGTCCCACCTTCATAGATGCTTTCATTTTTCCCATAGCATATTGAACCTTCTGGCCCTTTTCCTAGAATTATAAACATGCGCAAGAGCTGCCCACCTAAAATCCATCCATAATTGTGAGCATCTCTTCTCTCCTGTTTTGTAATTAAATTTACTGAAAGTTCACACTGGCACCTCTTTTCTATTCTTTAACCTATTGCAATATTGTACCCAACCCCATCACTCCACAAAATTGCTTTTACCAAGATCAAGCACAGCTATTTTTCAGATGTTTGTGTGCATTTTCCCATTGCACCTCATGACCTGCCATCCACCTGAAAATTATAATTTTTCTAACACTTCCTATTCCCCCTAATGGGGCTTCCTGGGTGGCTCAGTGGTGGAAAAAAAAAAAAAAATCTGCCTGCTAATACAGGAGATGTGCATTCAACCCCCAGGTCGGGAAGATCCCCTGGAGAAGGAAATGACAACGCACTCCAGTATTCTTGCCTGGGAAATTCCATGGACAGAGGACCCTGGTGGGCTACAGTCCATGGGATCACAAAAGAGTTGGACACAACTGAGCAATTAAAACAGCAATTGCCTCTAACATAGTATAATTTTTACTTATTTATTTTGTTTTTATCTGTTTTCCTTGGTTAGACTGTAAAATCAGGAAGGACAGGAATTTTTTCTGCTTTGTTTACTGCTACATACCCAGCACCTAGCATAATGCCAGAATATCATAGGTATTCACAAATATGTTTTGAATAAATGAGCACTGAATTGTGATGATCTATTTTCCTGTCTTTTACATTAGATCAGGAGCCACTTTGAATACTGGAACTGGTTTTTTTGTTTGTTTGTTTAATCTCTTTATTAGCTCGGTTAACTCAGCAACTGACCCACAGGCGACAGTATAACGAATGTCCTGGAGTCATTATGGTCCCAATATTTTTGGTAAATGCTTCTGGATGATACACCAGGGCCTAAAAAAGTAATTTTAAATTCTGCAACCCTAGAGCTCCAATGAATACTAGGATTTTGTAAACAAAGGAAATTTAAACTGCCTAAAGAAACTATTTAACTTACATGCAGAGTACATCATGCAAAATGCCAGGCTGGATGAATCGCAAGCTGGAATCAAGATTGCAGGGAGAAATATCAATCTCAGATATACACACATGATACCACTTTAATGGCAGAAAATGAAGAGAAACTAAAGAGCCTCTTGATGAGGGTGAAAGAGAAGAGGAAAAAAACTGGCTTAAAACTCAACATTCAAAAAACTAAGATCATGACATCCGGTCCCAACAATTCATGGCAAATAGATAGGAAAAAGTGAAGCAGTGACAGATTTTATTTTCTTAAGTTCCGATATCACTGCAGATGGTGACTGCAAGTCAAAAAATTTAAAAAATCCTTGCTGATTGAATGGAAAGCGATGACAAAACTAGACAGTGTATTAAAAAGTAGAGACATCACTTTGCCAACAAAGGTCCATATCGTCAAAGCTGTGGTTTTTCCAGCAGTCATGTACAGATGTGAGAGTTGGTCCATAAAGAAGGCTGGGTGCTGAAGAATTGATGCTTTCAAATTGTGGTGTTGGAGAAGACTCTTGAGAGTCTGCTGGACTGCAAGGAGAGCAAACCAGTCAATCCTAAAGGAAATCAACCTGACTATTCATTGGCAGGACTGATGCTAAAACTCCAGTACTTTGACCACATGATACAAAGAGTCGACTCATTGGAAAAGACCGTGATGCTAGGAAAGATTGAAGGCAGGAGGAGAAGGGTAAGAGAGAGGATGAGGTGGTTAGATAATATCACTGACTCAATGGACATAAATTTGAGAAAACTTGTAATGGAGGACAGAGGAACCTGGCATGCTACAGTCCATGGGGTTGCAAAAAGCGAACACAACTTAGTGACTGAACAACAAAAACAGAAACTATGTTCATCAGCAGCCTCCAGAGAAACAGGACCAGTAGGAGATTACTTATTTATCTATGCTTATCTATTTATCATGAGGAATTGACTCATGTGATTACGGAGGCTGACAAGATCCACAATCTGCCATCTGGAAGCTGGAGACCCAGGAAAGCCAGTGATGTAATTCAATTTGAGTCTGAAGGCCTGAGAACCAGGAGAGCTGATTAAATAACAGATTCCAGACAGAAGATGAGATGAGAAGTTAAAGCAGTAAGACTGGAGAAAAGAGGAATTCTTCCTCCCTCCACCATTTGGTCTATCCAGGCCACTAATGGCTTGGATGATGCCCAACTACAATGGGGGAGGGCCATCTATTAGTAGTTTACTGAGTCCATCAAAGCAAATGCTAATCTCATTCAGAAACACAGACACACTCGGAAACAATGTTTTATCCAGGCAACTGACACACAAAATTAACTGTCATGCTCTTTATCCCTTTAAGTTGTGTTATTTATTAAGATTCCCAAACTTTCCTGGTGGTACAGTAGATAGGAATCTGCCTACCAATGCAGGGGCCACGCATTGCTGCAAAGCAACGAAGCTTGCAAGACACAGCTACTGAAGCCCACGTACTTAGAGCCTGTGCTCCACAATAAAACAAGCCACTGCAACGAGAAGCCCTTGCTCCACAATGAAGAGGAGCCCCTCTCACCACAACTAGAGAGAGTCCTTGGGTGGCAACAAAGACCCAACGCAACCAAAAATAAATAAATAAAAATTAAAATTTTTAAAATTCCTTGAAAATTGTTCTATTGCTAAGGAAGTTTAAAAATGGTAGCTTTCAACCAAAGATAGAGGAAGGAAGGAAGTATGAAGAAAAGACAGAGGACATGGTTCTCAAGCCTAAATCCACATTCAGATCACTTGGGGAATTTCTATATTGATTTGGACCCTACTCTCAGAAATACTGATCAGGTCTAGGGACTGAGCTTTTTTAATTCGTCAGATGCTTCTAATGTACAGTCAGGGTTGAGAACCGCTGAAATAGGTAATCTATAAGAAATGGGGCGAGGCTACCAGGGAAGAAGAATGTCTATTGAGAGAAGCAAAACACCCCGGATGGTTGTTTAGGGTTCTCTCCAGTAACACTGGGCCAGAGGCAGTCCCTGTCACTGATTTTCTATGCTTATGACCAGTAATTGTATCCAGACACTGGAGGGGACATAAGAGGAAGACCAAGTACTAAACAGTTACTTTATGGGCCACTAACAGCCACTAAAAAATTAGAAAAAAAAATCCTCCTTCCTTGAAGTTTTCTAAAAGGTTAATTATACACCAGCTCTTTCAACCTTTAAATTACTTTCAGAGGGTGAATTAGAAAGAGGAGCATGATCCATGGGGTCATAAAGAGTCAGATACAATTTAGCGACTGAGCATGTGTGTGCACATGCACACACACACACGAATTCCATTAGCAGATTGTGGTACTTTAGATTAATTTTTCTTATTAAATGGTATCTTGTTGTTCATTTTTCATCACAAAGAGGCCAACTTAATCTTTGTTTTGAGCTTGCATATTGAGCAATTCTGGATAATTGTATGTAGACTGATAACCTTTATAACAGGCACAATTCAATGCAGAGGAAAATTTGTTCTTGGAATGCAATTTCAATTTCATAAAGTGGAACTTAGTATCTTGAAAAGGGAGTATATGAGTTTCTTTCTGTTGTATTATTCCCAAGGGAAATTTCCAATTATTCTGTGACTCAGTGTAGACTCAGGATAAATATATGCTACAGGCACCACCTGAGGCATACTCACAAATTAACCACATTTGATTTATTAGCAGGTAAGTATGCTTAATCAAAAGTTACATAATTTTGGCCATAAGTATCTTGTTTTTCTTAGTATTCTCTTTATGAAAATACATCTCAATGACAGAAAAACTCTCTCTGTAAAGAAGGATAAGTTATAATCCAGTCCTTTGTAAAGAGTAAGCTATTTTCATAAAATACAGTAGAAGTTTTTTCTTCAGATTAACTGGTTCTAATGAGTAAATTTGATGAAATAGTTTACCACAAAGATTGCCTTTTACATTTCAAAACAAAAGCATTAAATGAAAGTTGACTTTAACAGAAATGGATATTGCACTAATTCTTCCTCAAGTGCCTGTATTTTTTATTTTGTAATGATTTGTATTCCCTGATGTGCTTTATCTCATGCATGACTGATTACAACTGTGAAGCGGGGTTAAATGTATTTGCTGTTGGCAATTTAGCATTAATTGTAATATGCTGTAATCCAAATTACAATCTGTCATTTCCAGTCAAATTGTGAAGCACTGTAATTGTATTTTAGAATTCCACTGCCATTGATTATAGCTACCTCATTTGTGTTTTAATATACCATGACGAATTTGTGAATGGAAATATAATCTTGTAACAAGGCAGGAAACAAGCATTGTTCTTCCTATTATAACAGCAAGAAAATGATTTCTTAACAAATGAGAAGAGAAGAGATGGTAAGAAGCAGAGGATTCAATTAAGGGTGAAAAAGACAAAAATGACTTTAATTTTCTAGCCGTGCATAAAAATAAGTGAGCCATGGATTTTTAGAAAACACTTTTATACCAAACATTACAAAAATATTCTTTAAATTAACATTATTTTTAGAATCTACTCATACTAATACAAATGCTGTAGTTTATTCATATGAATTGCCACAGAGCATTCCACAGACATTCTCTCCCTGGTGATCATTCAGGTTGTTTAGAGGTTTGTACCACTATAAATAATGCTGCAGTAGACATTCTTGTATATGACTCTTCATATACATGGAGGATTCACTAGGAAACATACTTAGAAGTAGGATTTCTGGGCTGCAGAATATGCGTAGCCTCTATTTTACTTTGTGTGTGTGTATGTGGTAACACTGCAACATGAGATCAATCCTCTTGATAAATTTTGAAGTATATATTATTGATGACTATAAGTACAGTG